TGTATGTATGTATGTAAGTGTGTAAAGATGTAGGTGAATGTATAATTATGTGTATGTATGTATGTATGCATGTGAGTGTAAGTATGTGGCTCTATATGTGTGTATTTAGGTATGTATGCAAGTATGTATGTATGTAAAAATTTAGGTGTATGTATAGATGTGTGTATGTATGCATGTGTGTATGTATATATGTATGCATGTGAGTGTAAATGTGTGGCTGTGAGTGTATATGGGTGTCTCTACATGTGATTGTATGTGTATGTATGTATGTATGTATGTATGTATGTATGTATGTATGTATGTATGTATGTATGTATGTATGTATGTATGTATGTATGTATGTATGTATGTATGTATGTATGTATGTATGTATGTATGTATGTATGTATGTATGTATGTATGTATGTATGTATGTATGTATGTATGTATGTATGTATGTATGTATGTATGTATGTATGTATGTATGTATGTATGTATGTATGTATGTATGTATGTATGTATGTATGCATGTATGTATGTATGCATGCATGCATGCATGCATGCATGCATGCATGCATGCATGCATGCATGCATGCATGCATGCATGCATGCATGCATGTATGTATGTATGTATGTATGTATGTATGTATGTATGTATGTATGTATGTATGTATGTATGTATGTATGTATGTATGTATGTATGTATGTATGTATGTATGTATGTATGTATGTATGTATGTATGTATGTATGTATGTATGTATGTATGTATGTATGTATGTATGTATGTATGTATGTATGTATGTATGTATGTATGTATGTATGTATGTATGTATGTATGTATGTATGTATGTATGTATGTATGTATGTATGTATGTATGTATGTATGTATGTATGTATGTATGTATGTATGTATGTATGTATGTATGTATGTATGTATGTATGTATGTATGTATGTATGTATGTATGTATGTATGTATGTATGTATGTATGTATGTATGTATGTATGTATGTATGTATGTATGTATGTATGTATGTATGTATGTATGTATGTATGTATGTATGTATGTATGTATGTATGTATGTATGTATGTATGTATGTATGCATGTGAGTGTCAGTAAGTGGTTGTATGTGTGTGTATTTAGGTATGTATGCAAGAATGTATGTATGTATCTAAAGATGTAGGTGTATGTATGCATGTGTGTATGTATACTATATATGCACGTGAGTGTAAATGTGTGGCTGTGGGTGTATGTGGTTGTCTGTACATGTGATTGTATGTGTGTGTATGTATGCATGCATGTGTAGGTGTGTATTCATGGAATGAATGCGTGTGTGCGCATGTATGTGGGTTTTTTTCTGTTAATGCATTTATGTCTATGTATGGGTGTGTGTTTTCTGTTTGTATATGTATGTAGATGCGTGTATGTATGTATTAGGTATGTCTGTATATGAATGTGCATGTATGAGAATGTAGGAGTATATATACGTGTGTGTGAGCGTGTAAGATTGTGTACACATGATGTGTGTATGCACTATTAAATAATGCATATTTCTGTATTATTTCCATAACATGCATTATTGATAACAGGCATTGGTACTCTGAAAAATGACTGCTTAGAAGGGCCGAATGTCAGACGGGCCTGCGTGACCAATTTGTGACCCTTCGAAAATTAAGTTTGTTCGTTCGTTCTTTCGTTCTTCTTCTTCTTCTTCTTCATCCTCGTTTTCTTTTTCTTCTTTTTCTTTTCCTTCTTCTTTATCTTCTTCTTCCTCTTTTTCTTTTTCTTCTTTTTCTTTTTCTTCTTCTTTATCTTCTTCTTCATCTTCTCCTTTTCATCTTCTTCTGGTAGCACAATGTCGGCCAAAAAAAAAAAAAAACGTTCTTGTGAAATTTGCATCGGTTGCGTCAGAAGCGGTGTTAATTGTCCCATAACCTCATTTGCT